GATTCGGTACCCACTGCATTATTACAGGGGTGCCAAGGCGTTGCTTTATGTTGTGTGAGGCAATGATGACAGTGTCGATACTAGGGGGCCATGGTCCATGACTTTGCATAGCCTGTAGTACACCTTTTGAGTTAGTGACCACAACAATCTGTGTTGCCTTCATATGTCCCTCGCCGAGTTGAAAGTCCCTGACTTTTAAGGCTTCACAGACTGTCATGGCCTCCGCATTAAAACTGCAAACATTACCACATGGTCCAAACATTTTGACTGAGTCAGAGCCAAGAAACTTGATGTGCTATTATTAAATACTATTTATTTATAAGCCTATATTTCTATGTGATGTTCATGGAAACTTGGTTTGGGGGGGGGGGGGGGGGTACCAATAAAGTAATTTGTCCCGGGCGCACATTTGCTCACTGCGCCTCTGGTTGTAAATGTATGTCAGACTTCGATAACTACTCTTGAGATACTTGAGTGTCATGTATGAGTGCATATGCAGCCTTGATGCAAATACAAACTTTTTATCATACATACAGAGTGAGATGATATAAGCTTAGTTTCTATTTCAATCACACAGCGATGCAGAAGTCAACTTTCACGCTCCCTTATAATTATTATTCTAACTGAAATCGATAGAAAACTTTTCCCCTGTATTCAAGGAAGGATGTTTTAAAGCTGCAGCTACGACTCGTTCAGAGCGTATTAATTACATCAATTAAGTCAAAACAACGGCAATGTAGGGTAAAGTTGATATACTTATAATATCTACTGACATGGCCTATATATTTAGAGGTTAATATAGACTAGTATGATTTATCAAATTATTATTTTTTTGTCTGAACTGTTCTGTTGGCACAGATAAATATATAACATACTGTAGACATTAATTAATAATAACATTAATAATAACAGAGACTTTGAAACAAGTAGACATTGAAGACTATGTTTTTTTATTACGTCAAATCCTACTTTTTCACAAAACATTCACAATAAACAATGACGCAATATAAACATATTAGCACATCCTTCCTTTTTAAGTTCTGAAGACTGATCTCTACTAGGAACTTTAACAACTCGACCACTTCTGGTTGTCTTGACTGGCACAACAAGTTCTCTAGACGTTGGTCTTTCTGCCATGTTTGTCAAAGACGAACTCTCACTTTCTCTCCGACAGAGTAATCTTTAGGTAGTCTTGATTTTGCATCGTATTTCACTTTGCTTCTCATCTGTCGTTCTTTTAGTAATGTCTCTGCATTTTCAGCTACCGATGGTTTCAATAGTTTGGGATCAGTTGGAATGATGCCCCTGAGTCTTCTGCTCATCAGCAGTTGTGATGGTGAATACGGCAGTCCGCTTATCGGAGTATTTCTATAATCGAGCATAGCGAGATATGGATCTTTCCCACTTTTGTATGCTTTGTTGAATATCTGCTTTACGATACCAACACATTCTGTTCTGTTCTCCAGTTGTTTTATGCAGGGTATTTGGAGAAATAGTCCACAACTAGCAAGTAGTCATTGTTCCGCCATTCAAAGAAATCTGTCGCAACCTTATTCCATGGTCTGTCTGGTACAGCATGAGGTAGCAATTTTTCCTTCACATTATTTCTTTTGAACGTTGCACATGTTGAGCATTTTATTATTGTCGAAAAAATATCTTTGGACAATCCTGGCTTAAACACATTCTGTCTTGCCTTCGATCTGGTTTTCTCAAGACCAAAATGACCTGTGTGCAACTTGTCGAGAATTTCATTTCTCATACTTGAAGGAATTATAATTCTGTTCTCATATTCCATTCTCTTCATGAATACTGTCTTTAAATGACCAATACACATGTACTGCTTCATGCACTTGATTTTTGAACTTTGGCCAACCTTTTCTGACATAATTGCTCAATCACTTCAGTCTAACAACAGATTCAGTTTTGCGACGAATTTCTTTTATCTTCTGATCACTTCCAGGAAACTTTTCTGTTGCGCTCTGAGTTGTCATAAACATATCATCATCTGATCTCTATTGCTCTTGACCACGTAATAGTTTATCATCTTCATGCCATTGAGAACCTGACGTAGGTCTACAAGTTGTTGTTAGTTGATTTTTCTACATCAACTCTGGTGGAGCTTCCTTCTGTTGCTTGACATCATGTACTTCCACGTTTTCTTTTGCTTCAATTAGTTTCAAAGCAATAGATGTCTTCATACCTAAAACTGGGTTTATTTCGTTCTTGGATCACATACAGATCATCTTGGACCGCCACATCATCGACTTTAAATGTGATCGATGCAGCTCCATTCAGTTCTAATGATTTATTTCCTAATTCTCGAAGGGTAGTATTTGAATGCTTTAACTGACTATCAGTTTCTGAAGTGTTCCACGTTGACTCTGATATCACATTAGCTTGTGCTCCTGTGTCAATCTTCATTTTGACTATTTTTTCCCATAATATTGACAACAACCATCCAAACTTTGACATTGTTGTCAGTACCAATTTCCTCAAACCACAACTCATTTACTTGGCTTGACTGACTTTTATCTTCCAGTAAATCAACAGCCTTGAAATGTTTCGATCGACATTGTGCGGCGAAATGATTTCTATTTTTACATTTTCGGCATGTCTGTCCGAATGCTGGGCAATTGTATTTTCCATGAGATCTACCACAAGATCTGCAATCTCTAATGATACTTGTTACATGAATCTTTGCCATTTTTTCCTGTGAGGCTTAGACTGGCTTTCTATCTTCTGTCTTCTTTAATTTATAAGCAGTATTTACATGTAATCCTTTCATATCTATCAATTGGTTCTGCGTATGCTCGTCAGCACAAATTATGCTTGCTGCTTTCTGTAAAGTTAAGTCTACTCTCTCAGAAGTCTCTCTCTCCTTCGATCTGACTGTAAGCCATATACTAATCGATCTCTGATGAGTTCATCTCAAAGGTTGTCAAACTTGCATTCTTTTGCCTAATTCTTCAAATCAGTTTAATACTGTTCAAACGTTTCACCGTCCTTCTGATTTCTTGTGAAGAATTTAAATCTGTCATACACAGTGTTTAACTTAAGCAAAAATGATTCTCAAACCTTTCAATTACATTGTCTACAACCTCATCTTCACATATTTGAAAAGTATTGTAGATGTCTCGAGCGGGTTCACCGATCAGGTGTAACATAGAACTTTCTTCACTGGCTCGGGCTTCGTATTCTTTTCAGTGGCGACCTTAAACAGTTCAAAACTTTGTCTCCATTTTTTCCATCTTTCAGACAGATGACCGTCTGGTGACAACAGCTAATTAAGAAGGATCGAATAATTTCATTATTCGTCTAGATTCTAGATTCTATGTCTAGATCGAGATCTAAAACAAAATTTCGACCAGCCCCATCAGGGGAAGCTAATATGATGATGATCCTGAGCTAGCCAGGAAAACCAGTGACTTGGCAGAATTTAAGTCATTGGTTAATATGCATGACTAAATGCATGACGCGTAGGACGTGATCATCTTCTTTTTTGAAGTAACGTCTGTATTATATAAGATATTAAAGAAAGAATTAATACATTTGGACAATTTGAACCGAAGATCTAATGTTGGTGAGTGTGTGTCAGATAATAGAAATTAATTCACAATAATAATAATTTTTTATTATTTTTTATTATCTTTGAGAAAATAAAAAAAAATTAGAAAATGTTATTTTGTGTTTCTTTTTATACAGGTTGTATCCTTAGTATATGGATAAATCTATAAATGAAGAATCACTGCCGGATCAAAAGGGGCTACTCAAGAAGGATGAAATTGTATAGACAAATAAAAAATAGCCTACTATTAAAAAAACAAACAAGGTTATAAAGACAGTTTGTGTGGAAACACAAATTCAAAATCGGCCCCGAAGTGGTCCACCCAGGCAGGTAAAAAGATAGGTATCAGTATTTTCAGACAGAACATCAGAATTAAATTCGATCTAAGACAAATGACAGAGAAGAATGGAGAAAGAAGGTTGACAGATCTTGTGTGGTGCCCAAGCGGTCCAGCAAACCTAAGGATAGATTTCATGCTTTTGGCTTTCTCAATACTCTATGAACCCTTATCACTCATTCGACCAGTAGGGAGAATGGGGGATAAAGAAAGGGACATATGTGTGAATTTTACAATAATTTCTTTTTTAAAGGCATTTATATTAAAAAAAACAAGAAAAATATAAAAAATTGTTTTAAAAAAAGCTTATACGAAGTGTAACTGTGTCACAGTGGCGTAGCTAAGGTGGGAGGAGGAAGGGTCAAAATTTGAAAATCCACCCGGTTTTCCAAATGAACGTCCGAAATTCGTTTTTACGTTAATATTACGCCATTATCTCATGTCATGATGTCGAATGTGTAAACAAAGGGAGGTCAAGGCCCTCAAATACCTAGCTACGCCACTGTTGTATCGATTAGTTTTTTTTTCGTCCACAAGTGAAATAATTAATGTTGAGACAGCCAGGGCCATTAGGAATCTAGTACAGAAGATAGATACATTATATATTAAATAGATAGGGTTGATAGCTCTCATGACTTGCACAAGCCTACACCTGTAACAGTTATTGTTGCTAGGACCAAACAGCAGCGCAGAGAGAGGAGCGTACAAGTCTTCTTGCATCTTTCTGTCTACATAAACTGATACATACCTTGGTTTTACAGGACAACTTGATGTCTTTTTTTTTTCTTTGGTCACTGTCAGCCGGGAAGGGGAGAGGAACTAATACATTTTCACTCACCCCACCCCGGGTACCTCGCTACGTTAATGTCAGAGGCTCGAACACTCTCTTCCAAACAACAAACCTGGACAGAGATGCAGGTCAAGTGCATGTGGCTTCCTGTGAAAAACGAGATTTCGGAAAAGAATATGAGACCCTATGGAGACATCTTGAAGTACGGCCGGGAACGTGCAAAATATGGTTAGAACAGAAATATTCATTGATTATATGCAGTGATACAAGCACGTTCAAGGGAAGCAATCTACACAGTCGCTACTGACAGAAACAATAAAAACAAAACAAAAATGATTTGAGGAGAAGCCTGTGTCACTCAAAACTGTTTTAGTAATTCATATCTTCAATCAATTAATCACATAAGACGTGCATCGATGTAATTCATTTATTTACATTTCATTAACATTTGTAGATAAAAATATCAAAAAAAAAGTTTCATTCTTATAGCAGTGATTTGAACACAATATACCTGCTATTTTAGAGATAAGACGCACATTAAATAATTACTTCATAGAAAAAATATATAACGCCTTCTAAAAAAAACGTGGAAAAACTAGTGAAATAAGAACTAGATATGCAATCATTTTTTCCCCAAGAACATTTATTTCAGTTGGTAATATACTTTCATTTCATCTTCGGAACTTTGTATTTTTAACAAAAGGTGAGTATATTATTAAATACAATTAACTAGTGAAATCTTATAGATATAAGAAAAGAAATTTATAAGCGAAAAATCCTAACAATGGTCCCAAATAAAGCCATATTGTTACTTATTCAAAATTCAGTGATAACTGCGACATGTTTGAGTAAAGGGAAATGAAATGTTCACTTTGTCCCTACTGTCACAAATAGCTTTATAAAATGGAGCTAAAATGGTGATGCGTGGAACATTTAGCACCTTTTCTTAGCTACTTAAGAGCTAAACCCTCAATAGGATGTTGAGAAACAAGCTTTTTATTGACTTCATGCACTCCTCCATTTCTTTAATGAATAATCTGTTCATACACAGACACATACAAGCATTCACTCATACACAAAAACACTATTTCATCAATTCAATATATTGTTACTCTTTAGAGAAGTGATGCTGGCCAAAGAAGAGATGGCTTATAAACAAGTGTAAAGGAAATTAATTTGGCCAAATGTAAAGGTTTAATACATTCAGGTTTTCATTGTAGATAGAGAGGTAACAGTTAGTTTTGAAGGTTTCTGACTAGGAGATAAGAAATGTAACAACAGATTCAAACTCAAAAAACAAAAATACTTACCATCAATGCTAAGTACAGGCAACAATGTAACAACAAGTGACAATTTAACATTACATAAAATCATATAGATGTAGAAAAATAGCTGATTAAGAAACAATTATTTGCAGCAATACAAATGACAAAAAAAAAAATTGTTTTAGTCTAATTCCCCACCATACAATCTTATGATCATCTATAGTGCTTTGCTAACAACACAGTAAATGATTTCAAATACATTTTAAGCTTTATGAATAGCAAGATCCATTTCTCAAAAAACATTTAGTCAATTAGTCTTCTTTACAAACATTTTCTGTCTACCAAAATAATAATAAGATTCAATCTAATAAATATATTCAATCTAATAATTAGATTAAATCTAGCCAACAAAACTAATAAAATTGGGCTAAAAAATGGTAGTAAAAAAAACAACAAATAAATGAAAATGAACTTAACTTAAGAAGTATAACCTATAAATTTAGATGCAAAACCTATAACTTAAGGTGTATAACCTATAACCTAAGATGCATAGCCTATAACTTAAGGTGTATAACCTATAACCTAAGATGCATAGCCTATAACTAAAGATGTATAACCTATATATTAAGATGTATACAGAAAAGCTTCTTCATACAAACACTGTCAGAAGTGGGGAAAAAAAAGCTGTATAATTGATCCACTATTTGATGATATATCACAGTGAAGCCAGTAGTTCACAAACCCTTAGTAAAACATGAATAGAGACGCATGATTTTGATAAAAATGTGCATACACATTTCATGTGCAACCCTAAACAATCTTGATAGAACTTATTTTTTAATGAAGCCTTTTATATCGATTTGCTAAATTTCAAACATCAGGTTAGAATGAGGCAAAAGTTGTTCAAGAGACTAAAAGATTAATTAAGTGATATGGGTCAATCAACACTTGCACATCAAGAATCAGAGGGAGATAACACTCTCACTACTTATATTGCTAACAACCAACAATAACATTGCACTCAGAGTATTTTAAATTCTATACAAATTGGTTTCATAAATGTTTACAAAAAAATATTGCATACTTTGTAATAGAAAAACAAAACATACAAACTTTTGCATTCTTAGAACTAGCAATATTTTTTCTAAGTACTGAATAAATATTTCCTGTAACAGAAAAGATTCCAGAATTTCATTCAAGTGTTTCCTAGAAACATAGAGATTTATATTCAAAGAATTTGAACATAAGTCCCACTACAATTTCACACAAAGATAACAATGTTACTAGAGAGGATTCCATTCCATATGTCATATAGTCTCTACTACACTTTAATAACTACTAATTAATTCTGTAATACATCTTTTAAAAGGAGGAGGTTTGACATAACAGCAGCATTTTATTTTTCAATACATGTTATACTAGAAAAATTCCGAAATAGGTATTTTTTAAAACACATTATGTCAAATGACTTTACAATCACTTGGAATGAGTTCTTCAAAGTCAAAGTTTACTAAAGGCAAGAACAGAATCAACATGTTGGTAAGAAGTTTTTATCAGCAACAAGACTTTTTAACTGGACCATTGGAGGGATCCTTGCCATCTACCAAAATAGTATCTCCATCACGGACATCATCTCCAAGCTTGTTGGCCCTGTCTTTCTCTAATATCTGTAATATAGGGGACATTAAAGTTACAGCAGCGTATTGTGATTTATAATCAAATATATCAGGATATAAATATATATATATTGTCTGTATTAACTAATTCAAAAAGAAAAAAAAAAGCCAAATGAAATATTAATTAAGAATACAAATATTAATACAAATGGAAACTGTAAACTAGAGACAAAACTAGTGTAGTTTTTTTAAAACTAAATTCAGCTTCAGTTGTATTTTTAGTTTATTTTGATTTCAGCATTATTTTAAATTTTGGTCTGTACCTTTCGGTTTTCTAAAATCCTAATTTTAAAAATGAAAACTTTTTTTTTATTTGGTTAAGACTCATATTAATTTTATTTTTTTGGCTAATTACAATGTTAGTGAACTGCTTAATGAAAAAAGACAGTTCATCTTTCTGACATATTTAGATCTCAAAAATAAAACAAAACCAACTGATCCAGTGTTCAGAAATTCAGCTAAGTGGAAAGAAAAGTTGACAGGCCGTCTATTTTGTTTTAAGCAATATTATATCTAGTAACCTCAGTTCTTTGAAAAACAAATTATATTGATTGTAGCTTTTAAAATGTGATACTTTTTATACTTTTCATCACAATTAAAATTTTTTTCATTTAAAAATGTTGAAAAATCAAATTATAAGCATAAAAATAAGCACCTTTGTAACTAAAAACCTGGCAGCCTCATCAATATTGATGTTCTCCCTAGCAGACGTCTCATACCAACCAATGAAACCTTTTTCTTTACAAAACTCATCCATCTGGGATGCATTGTTTACTAATCCTTCCTTAGCTTGATCACACTGTTGAGTAAGAAAAGATCATACTAGAGTCATTGTTCAAAGCTAAGAGAAAGTTGTGATTATTGTAATACAAACAAGAAAAACATTTAAAATACTTTTTAAAAAAGACAATATCTCATTTATACAACTTCTAGAATGATTGTTTTTTTCTCCAAAAATAAAAATGAGTGTTAGATTAAAAAATAATGGAACATATTTTACCCTGACCCATTCCCCTCAAGAAAGAATCCTGGTTAAGCGATCTACTACTACATTTATAATATTCTGTTGATAGGCCTTTATATCTAGACTTAGAATACGATGCACAAAATTTCCTGAATATTAATTTATTAAAACTCTTCAAGAAATACGGAAATACCCAAAGACGTATAGTCCATTTAATATATTTTCTCATTCTCTAGCCTAATTTAGATTTATTTCTGTTCTTTTTTCTTCACACCCTAGATCTGTGTTACCTAACTTTTTCCTACAGCAGATCAATGGTACCTAGGTTAGGCGGAAGGGCATACAAATTTCAGCCAAGTGTTTCCAAGCCAGCAGGGTATGAACCCGGGACCATTGAGATGATCAAATGACAGTCCAGGGTGCATACAGCACAACCAGGCAGCCATCCTGATTATTATTATACATTACTAATATTACACTACTTTTTTTTTCAAAATCAGGTGCATCTATGCTGTATTCTTTTTACTATTTGTTCATGCGGCCAATTTAGAGACAAATAATCTTGAGTACACAAAAACAAAAAACTTTTAATTTGAAAGCAGGGCTGATTTAGACATCACTTACTTTGTTCCCTAATAAGACACAGGGGACTGGGGAGCTATCAGAAAGCTGAACTTTGTTGTCGAGGTCACTTTTCCACTTCGTCACTGCCTCAAACGTTGATGCCCGTGTGACATCAAAAACAACAAAAGCCCCTACAGCTTCTTTGTAATACACCCTTGTCATATTACCGAATCTTTCTTGACCTTTAAACAGAAAAAAAAAGGTAGAATACAAACTAAATGAGTTATTTTTTTAATGAAACCATGGCTAGACTTACATTTAGTATTAAATAGATATTATTATAAATAAAAGCCATTGTAGTAGACAGGCACAGAAGATATAAAGAAAACTAAAATAGACCCCTGGTAGGCAATGACTTTGTTACTTTGTTTGAATCAGGTGTGGAAAAATATGCAGTTAGCAATTGGATTTGCTTTGTTATGTGAAACACAGTGCTAATTTTTAATCTTTGGAATTGAAGACATTACCATTATTATTACAATATCAAGGGAGATAAGAGTCTAAGTCCCTATTAGTTGAATAGTTGGTCAATATTAGCATTTGTTCAACAGGAAGTAAAAAGTTAAGTTATACTGTGACCCTGTGGGTAAGGAGGGGGAAGCAGGTTGTTAGTGACACCACTGACGACTTTCTTTTTTTTTTTTTTGGGTATATTTAAGGCTAGGGAAATGTTTGACATACACCTCTCCAACCTTTTATTTACTTCTTAAGCATTTTTTAAAAATTTAAATCTCTGTCTACACTTGGATTAAACTTCACATGACACATTGGTTCTGCAGCCAAGAACTAATTAAACTTGACTTGACACATTGGTTTTGTAGCCAAGAACTAATTAAACTTGATTTGACACATTGGTTCTGTAGCCAAGAACTAATCAAACTTGACTTGACACATTGGTTCTGTAGCCAAGAACTAATTACACTTGACTTGACAAATTGGTTCTGAAGCCAAGAACTAATTAAACTTGACTTGACACATTGGTTCTGAAGCCAAGAACTAATTAAACTTGACTTGTACATTGGTTCTGTAGCCAAGAACTAATTAAAATTGATTTGACACATTGGTTCTGTAGCCAAGAACTAATCAAACTTGACTTGACACATTGGTTCTGTAGCCAAGAACTAATTACACTTGACAAATTGGTTCTGAAGCCAAGAACTAATTAAACTTGACTTGACACATTGGTTCTGCAGCCAAGAACTAATTAAACTTGACTTGACACATTGGTTCTGTAGCCAAGAACTAATCAAACTTGACTTGACACATTGGTTCTGTAGCCAAGAACTAATTACACTTGACTTGACAAATTGGTTCTGAAGCCAAGAACTAATTAAACTTGACTTGACACATTGGTTCTGCAGCCAAGAACTAATTAAACATGACTTGACACATTGGTTTTGTAGCCAAGAACTAATTAAACTTGACTTGACACATTGGTTCTGAAGCCAAGAACTAATTAAACTTGACTTGACACATTGGTTCTGAAGCCAAGAACTAATTAAACTTGACTTGTACATTGGTTCTGTAGCCAAGAACTAATTAAAATTGATTTGACACATTGGTTCTGTAGCCAAGAACTAATCAAACTTGACTTGACACATTGGTTCTGTAGCCAAGAACTAATTACACTTGACTTGACAAATTGGTTCTGAAGCCAAGAACTAATTAAACTTGACTTGACACATTGGTTTTGTAGCCAAGAACAAACTAGGCAGACACCAATACCAAAGTACACATAGGTTACAATTAGGGTTATTGTCACATCCGTACAATTCAGGCCATGTTGTGCCCACTACTGTGTGGAGAACACTATAGAGAGATGGACACAAGATGATTGTAGTTAACACAGGGCACATAAACAGGTAACTCTAGGGCACATAAACAGGTAACTCTAGGGCTCATAACAGGTAACTCTAAGGGCACATAAACAGGTAACTCTAGGGTACATAAACAAGTAACTTTAGGGCACATAAAAAAGTAACTCTACTTCAATTTTCAATGTATCTTGAAGTCTTACTGGAAAACTGTATTGTGATCAGATTTGGACCTGAGCAATAAAAGCTACTCTAAAACGCTGGGTTGATTTGAAAACACCTAAAGACAAGATTTTTTGGCTAGAAATATCTACAAGGGTCAGTTAAAGGTCAATAAAGAAAAAGCTGGCAACATAAGATGAAAGAGTTTCTGGATACCCTAAAGAGGAGTGGAGAATAGAGATGCAGAGCCTATCCAAAAACAAGATAAAGTTTCTGCAAGTCAGTGAGAGCCTACCTGCAATATCCCATAACTGTAACCTAATTAATGTATCCGCATCCCAGTTTAATACTTTCAGGGCAAAGTCAACACCAATCTGT